GGACTATTTAAAATAATCTGCCACAAAAGGTTACCAAGGTTATCAATTTTGCCTTGTGAATTTGAACTCAAACTTCATACTTTTTGTAATTGAAATTCCCCCCCCCCCCCCCATCTTGAATGACAGTCTTTTGAAGTGATCATTCTGATGATATCTCCCGGTTATATAAATTTTCCTCTTGAAAAAACAGATAGATTTAGTTTCAGTTTGTCATCATAGGAAGAGTTCAAAAACATTCATGAAATTATGTTGCTCAATAACAGAAAATTAAGGTCGATGATCATAACAACAAGATGGCAGTAGTTTTTGACTTCAAAATAATTAACTTATAGGATAATTTAAAAATTCTTTGATTTTTACACTTTTATTGTTCATAAGAGATCATCTTGCTACAAGAATTTACAGTTTCAATTCAAATATTATAAAAAAAAAATTAAAACAAAGTATAATCAAAAGAAGTAGCTTATATCAATAATGACCATCAAAATCTTAAAATTGCAATCTTCCTCATCAATATTTGATAAGACTGATATGAAAATCTTCATCATTGTTTATTTTTAAGTGAAATCTGAAATATGAATTTTTTCTGAAATGTTGGAATATTTAACTCACATATTTTAACTAGATAAAAGAATGTGACTATGATACTAAATTTTAATCTAATTCAAAAAATTTTTATATAATTTTTTTTAATTTCAAAATATGATTAGTTTTTTATATTAAAGTGTTAGGACTTAATTTTTTCTTAACTTTTAGTTAGTCTAAATATGGTTTTCTAGAATAGGAAACTACTGTTGTATAGCTAGTTAAAAAGAAAATGTTTTATGTGATACAAATAAGAATTATAAAGTACTTTGTGTATTTTGTGTGGATGTTGTAAACCTTGTAAATCATTTGGCCTCTATGGAAATTGCTTGTCAATGTGAATATCAATGAGGATTATCAACTGATATCAGTATCACTGAAATTTTTTTAAAAACAAAATTGAGTGATAATTTTGAGGGATGTACATTAGCAAAAGTTTCAGAAGTACAGTGAGGGAATTTAATTCACTAGATAATCTCCACAGCGGAAAAAGTTGCTGTCATGTAGTAACACCGTTATGTTCTCCTTGTTTTCCGTCGTGTCCTTACAACCTTCATATGCTTGTAACAAAGACAATATCGTAAAGACAAAATCGTAGCAAAGTTTGGAATTATCTTCAACACACCTAGCCATCAAGCCTCAGGGATGATTAGTAACGGATCTAATGTGAATCCAACACAAAACGTTGCAAGCATTCTTGTGAAGTTCTATAGTCTACCATTTATCACTCTGGTGTTATGAAATTTAGACTTTGTACTAATCCAACCTCCAAAATCATCTTTATAAGCGGTGCATTTGAACAAATTAAACTAGAATTAATTCATTATGCCAATAGCTATAGCGGGTATGAAAAGGCTTTAATCCTATACAGATTATATCTTTATATTGTCGGCCTAAAGAGTTGTAGTTATGAACTTGATTGGCCTTTCTTCGGAGTAGGCATCGCACTTTCCCGTGTACTATTGAAATAGTTAAAAAATAGAAGAATGGATGAGCCAAGGTGTCGTACTGCAATTAATACAAATATATCCAAAGTGGTGATAAAATAGTAATTGAATGATTAAAGGGAAGATTAAAGATTTTTGCTTTACCATTCATAATTATGTAATTGTATTTGTTTCAGAACAGTTAACTATTTTTATTAAAGTAACGATTAAATTAAGTTAATGATTTTTTTAAATATATAAAATTAAATCAAGAAGTTTGGATAGAACATCATCATTGCCTTTTATCATAAATTAGATTCCGAACCTATAATAATCTGGATGAATTCTTTTGATCCAAAAGTCAAAAATTCAGATTCAAATCGTGCTTTTTTGCAATCTTTTGATATAAATGATGTTAACAGGATGATAATTGATCAATACAATCTGAACAATCCGTGAACTCAACATATTTAAATAATAATTTTAGAGAAATATCTTCCAATGCATAAAAAATATTTTTGTTAATCGAAAAATAAAAAATAAATAAAATCTGTTGATCTTATATTTATGGAAAAAATAGACAAGACGTCACTCAAAATTTTTTTGAAACAAAAAATTGTCACTCAATTCTTGCACAAACATCATGAAATTTTCAGAAGCATTTAATTGTAATTAAGGTTGAGAAAAATTCTTCAATTTCTTATTAAACTGTTGTTGCTTTGAGTCTATGCTTGGAATCTAACAATCAGACACCTACACACAAATAAATAATTGTATAACAATTCATATTCAAGATCATGCATTCTAAAATTCTAAATTTCAACATATCCCTTTCAACAAGACAAACAAGCATCAGAGAAAAAAAAAACCTCATATCAATTCCGCCATTGTTCCAAATGAATTCTCTATGATTTTCACTTTTGGCAGTCTTTCAAATGATTTTTGTGGCAAATAGTCCATCAACTTTATACATTCTTAACCTTTGAGTTCGTGTAGCTTTTGTGCAGATGTCGTATTCTCATCTGAAGATTGCATTAATTTGTATATTGAAGTTAGTTGTTTAAACTCAATGTCGTTACATCTGATGATCATGTACAAAAGACATCTTGTTGACAAAGTTGTCAATTGATAGAAGTGTTAGATTTTCAACTTTTAAAGTCAATTTTCATAAATCACTAATTAAACTTCATGTATGTTATTCATAAATAAAAAATTGTTTGAATCTTTGTATCCTTTGCTGATCTAAATATGAAATTATAAGACTTTTAGTTTTATGAATTATCCAAAAAAACTGACAAGTTTTATCTTGACTATATTCAATATTAGCAAATTATAACTAAATTGAACTAATTATATCTTAAAATAGATATTAAGTATATATTTAGCAAAATAACTAGATTATTTAAAAAAAAATTGTGAATGAACATAATTATTATTTTTTGGATCAAGGATTGTATAATGATATGTTTCTTTCAATTGTTTTTCGTTAAAATGAAATGCAAAGGTCATATCATTGGCATTATGAAGTACAATTATCATCACATTTATCATTATCTTCTTTTTCCTTATTATTTTTTACATTTGTCAAAGAAAGTTTTCTTTTTTAGCTCTTTTGAACAGTACCGATTTATCATATATCCAACAAAGCACAATCTTTCAGTCTTGAGAATTTTTTTTTATCGAGATTAAGTCTTGAACCTTTTGTATTCACCATAAATTTACTTTTGGAACATTTTATAATTTGCGCTCAGCATTGTCTGATGAAATTGATGAATTAAGAGTCACATCATATTTTGCTAAAAATCATGTGTCAACAAATCACTCATCACCTTATTATAGATAATGATTTTCTCCTCATCATTGAATTTTTTCCACAAATTTTTTTCATATGAAACTTCCTAGCTTCAAGAACGTATACATATGTGATTTTACAACAATATTTTTATATCAATTCCGTTGAATTTTATAAAAAAGTTTATCACAATCCATATATTTATCCAATTGCATGATGATATCAAGTTAAAGATTTAAAGCAATTTATTTATAACTATTTCATACAAATTTATCCATTCATTTTCTAACATCACATTAGTCTCAAAATTGGACTCAAATTTTCCAAAACTATTTGCTTTCTACATGTTATTAACCTGATGCTCTTCAAAAAATTAATCCTTACGTCAATCATACTTGATATCAAATTTAGCATTGTAAATCTTACACATTTTATCTTATTCTTTATAATTATTAAATATATATATAAACTTAGATTTGAATTCAAGCTTGAATGTAAAATTATAATGATAAAAACTTTTTGCATGAAGGGTTTGAAGGCATAGGACATAGTAGGGTTTGAATTTATTGTGGATTGTGTACCGAGCACCAGTGAAGGTCTTTGCAAGAAGGTCATATATCACTCCATTCATTCTTTGTATGCTACACAAGCTTTAGCAACTATCTCTCTACTTCTTTCAATCTGAACATGTGCAAGATCATATAAAGAAGTACTCCAATCAACTCTAGCATCTCAAATAATGAAGAACTACAAAGGTCAAGAGGTTTCCAAAACCCGTCACTGAGCCAAGTATATCCCTGATAAATTTCAATCTTAGAACCCATTGTTATAATCCTTAGCTGTTTCTTCTAGAGAAGCGGAAGTGAGCCAAGTATATTTTTGATGTTTTTTAATCTTAGATCCCATTGTTATGGTCCTTCGCTGTTTCCTCTAGAAAAGAGGAAGTCAGACCACGGTGAAGTTTTTCAACTCTAATGTTGCTGAAGTCTATCGTTTATCGAATTCCAACTCTTCTTCTTAGTACTCCTTCACGAGTTCGATTTCTTCAGTCTTTTTGCGGCAAGAAACTGGATGACGTTCTTTCTTGGAGGCTTAATTATGAAATATTGCTGGAATTTTTCAATATTAGAATGATACTTAAGGTTAACTGGAAACAAAAATGAGTGGCGAGAAAGTTGGATGTGTTGTATGTTGGCAAAAAAAAAAAACAAGCTATAGCTTTAGTGATAATGAAAGTGGAAAAGCTGATGAGTACTGAATTTTGTTTGGTTTTTTCGTTATAAAACAAGCTGACGAGCCGTCAAAACATGCTGCTAGAGTGCATGAAATTTGTGCTATCCAAATTCAAGGAGAAGATAGAAACGTCTTACGACTAAGAGGATACTATCTTCTCGTTGAATCTGGACATGATTTAGACACCATTCATTTTCCTCTAGAGTACACCAGCTACAAGGCTCAGACATCAACTAACCAGAAACTTGGCAGGTCTAGAGAGTCCACTGTCAAGTCACTCCTTCTGAAAGTAAAAACAAAAGGCATAAGGATTGAAGTTTTCCATCTTTTCTACACCTTTCTTAATATTTGTGATGACAGTAAATTCCACTGGACTAATTCGAGTCTGCCTCAAAAGTTGTTTTTTTATTTTTTTTGATATCTCATCTTCTGTAAGTTCAAGTACACACTGATGGCAAATGGGCGTCCTCATGACATCACTTCTTTGACTGAGTGGAGGGCGGGGTACGAACTACAGCTATGTGAAGAAAACAAGTACAAGCAGGCATAAGAGAGGAGATGGTTTTGCCGTCGTTATTTCAGTTTATTTGGCAGAGAAACAGCTTACGGTCCCTCCCTCCGTTGGCTTCATGACTTTCAAGGTCTGACCCACTCATACGGACAAAAATATGGCTTATATGACGACAGGAGTACTCCGGTCCAACGCAGCATGTCATCCGGTGGAAGTGGATTTGTTGCACAAATATGCATCAGAACTAGTTCAGTCCAATTGAACATTACTCCATATTTGTAGCACTTTGTTTACTCAATGAAATAGCTTTCAAAAGCAACGATTTCAACGGTAGAAATGCCGGGTAAAAATTGGAAAAGCATGTATTTACAGGTTTTGGCAGAGAAATTAAAAGAATCATGGCATGTTCGTCAGTGAATGAGGATGGTGCAGTATGAAGACCGGGACCTGCCCTGCCCATCGGATGAATCACCAGCTGTCTCTGAGTTGTGCTTCTCACATCTCCTTCTCGATAGCAGCGCTGTAAGATGGATTCTTCTGGTAGTAGTAAGACCAAAGCATCACGCCACCGAAGTTGCTGGAACCTCGAATCTGAGACCATCACGTCACTGGGCATCCAGCCGAGTCCAGATCGTAATTGCTAGTAGTTGCATCCATGAGTGCCTTGGCATTGGGCACAGAACTGATCGACAAGATGGCTTCCATTCCGGTGGTACTGGTAGTGGCACTGGTCGAGATTGTAGAACTGAACCCACACGTAATTAAACAAGCCACTGTCACCGCCCGAACCAGCGCATTCATCTGGTTATGGACACTGGGCAGCAACACCCCAATTCCATTCCATTAGAATTTGTAGTCCTCGTCCTACATCAGATCGTGCAACTACTGCACTACAGTGTTGTAGTGCTCGGGTCTGCCTCGCTCTAGATATCTAGATCGAGTCCATCGAGACTCTCGATTGCCCCAGTGTTCTGAACCATCCTCGCCGCCGAGGCAAGAGTTCCATGAATAATGGGAGACATGATCCGAATCATCTTTTGAGTCGAGACCATGATTCCCAATGCCTCCGCCGACAGACAGAATAGTTTTGACACCGCTATTCTGACAATGCTCGATCTGCGAGCGAGTCTAGTCCTCTGCTCTTGCCACTCCGAGCATCAAAATGTCCCGAGAGGCCAAGCTTTGGCTCAGACAGGTATCAAAGGACGACCGTTCCGTTGTCTCCTCTATCGCAAGCATCGGTCAAGCTTCCTTCATCGAACTGACCACAGTACGTGACCACCAGATGATACCCATGTATCACGTAAAGCAGAAGGAACAGCAAGCCCAGTCGACCCAGTAAGATTCTAGATTTTGCCATTGTTGCGGTGTGGGTTATGTCGAAATCAAAACAAAACGGAAAAATGCCTGAAACTGATTTTTCAACGTGCCCTCTGCTGTATCACGGAGGCGTGAGCTCTAGTAATGTTCTTTGATACGGGACTTTCTCTGATCATAGGAAAGATCAACCTCGAATTAGAATAAACTCATATGGATATTACTGCCTGGCCTGCGTAGTGGATCTAGTGGGATCTCGAGCAACTACTAAGATACTGCTCTCTGGATGTAAGGGCATTTCAAGAGCAAACAATTATTATCTCTACTGCGTGATATTATTGGGTCCGGTTACCAGTTTGATTTCTTCATGGAATCATTCCATCCATTTTTGTTATCCAAGTATTTAATTTTATCAAGATTTTAAGTCGTCTTTCAAGATTTCATATAAGTTTATATAGGCATGGCTTTAGAATTATGGACTCCTGTGTGAGCAGATTGACTGTTGCTGCGGTTGTTCTAAGGTTACATGCAGTGAAAAGTGGCATTTGGAGCACAGTGGAAGTAGAACAGAAGTTGGGCGGTCAGCTTTCAAATTGCTACGTGATCCTTGGACGTACTGGGTGACCCAGAGCATGCTTGAGGCTCAGAATCTTGATGATGCAAGTAGCACCAACCCACAAGTGCTTTCAGTAGTCTATGAGCTGTCCGACTCTTGATCTGTTGGTGAGTTGTGTAGGAGTGTTGAATCGACGTTCATTTTGTTCTTGGTTCTGTTGGTGAGTTGTGTAGGAGTGTTGAATCGACGTTCATTTTGTTCTTGGTCGAGCCCGGGGAAAAGTAGTTGAATGTTTTACTGCTTCTATTAATTTGTATTGTTTTGTATGAATTTTCATTGAATGTTGAATTTCGTGTGTACCGTTACCGTTTGTTGAGTGTTTTGAAATAGTATCTGGTTGTGTGCATGGCTGCTTGCCCTGCTCTTCTGTCAAGAAGGTGCCTATACGACCGGTTTTGTCACTAGCCATAGTTGCTAGTGCTTGCATGTCTTGTGACTACACCATATCAGATCTATTGCTTGCCATATATTTCTGTTAGACATCTAAGGTCACATCGATATACCACTTACTGGTTCTCACATTTCTCGATGCTCGAACCGATATAAAGCATAAATCCAGGAAGGAATGACATATCCGAATTCCAAATATTTTAAAAGAATATTAATAGCACTGTCCTTATGCATTTTATTTTATTTTCAAAATATAATATTTCGGCACATTGATGCGGGGTTTCTTGTATCGACTTGCTAATCTGAAGTTGAAGTGCAACTACCGTTCAAGTTGATCACACATATTAACAATTTATGTTTACTTATCTAAATAAATATACACTCCCACAGACGCAGAGATAAGGAGCGTCATCTCAGTTTTGTGCTTGCCATTTCTTGGTGTCATCTTCCCGATAGAATCTACAAAACAGGGAGCACTGGCTGGTTTACTAAATATGCGATTCTGAATCATATTTAAAACAGGTAAAAATTAGATGATCCTGTCTCTTCGAGAAGAAACTGTGCTTAAATTCTGTAAATATTCAGCTCGAGTTTACTCGGCACCTCGGGTCCAAGTTTGAGAATATGTTTAATATGGATAGAATCATTTCCAACAGAAGAGATTTTTCAGAGAAGGCCCACCGACCAATCCAAACTACAATAATATGATGACACCTTCCTTACTCGTGCTCTCTCTAAGTGACATAAATTATTATGAAGTATGGTAATGTAATGGTAATAGATCAAACCCGGGAGACCCAAAGGGTCAAAAGGCTGAAAAACACAATACAAGTGACAACCACAAACAAGGGAAAAGACCCCAAAGGCCAATCCCTAGCTAGTGCCAAGAGCACTAGAACGATAACTAATAATGTTCCTAATATAACAACCTAAATCAAAAATAACTAAATGTAACAAAGAATAAAAATGCATCTGCATCTATATTATGAGTCACTCTAATCTCTGCATATCTAGTACAAGTAAGAAATACATGCTCTTCATACTCAACTTCTCTTCCATCACATAGGCTACAAATACATTCACTCCTATCAATATTAAGCCAACGTCCTTCCTCAATTCCAAGCATATGAGATCCAGTTCTATACCTAGCAATAATATGACGTAAGGACGTAGAGATTCCTGCAAGTATGTAATCTTGTTTACAATAAACAAGCATAGGATTCACATGAAGTTGATAAAACTGCATCTTGGTGCCGCGCTTGCTCCAAATAATGTTCAGAAACTCCTCCTTTAAACGTTCACGTAGTGCTATAGGTTGTAGATCCCAATCGCGTTCCGTCACATTCCACCTCAAAGACCAAGTTATCACATCCGCTAACCATTCTTTGGCACGTGTGGCATTCAAAGCTTGAGGAAGAAGGCGAGAAGCATCAAGAGATCTCACCCTTCTGATGTAAGTGATGGTCAAGTATAGAGCTTCAGCCTCTAGAGCTAAACAACCTGTTTTCGCAAGAAGAATAACATGTGAGTTTTGGTTTCTCACACCCAATTCTTCTTGTAGAAATATCTTCTGCACCCTCTCCACATGCTCCCAACCTGTCTTCTTACAACCATGACTCCACACTTGGGTTCCATACAATACTACCGGCAACACTAAACTTCTGAATAAAAATTTCCTAAGACTCCAAGACACAAGATGAGGCCTTCTACACCAATTTAGCAATGAATATAGAGCTTTGTAACCGCCTTCTACTATCTTTTGCACACAAAGTGCCCAACTATAATCATTAGAAAAATTAATGCCTAGATATTTATAACTCTTCACCTCTTCTAATTGTAGATCTTGGTAATAGAAGTAAAACTTGGATCTAGTGCTCACTATCATGACTTTGGACCTCTCTATATTTACCTCCATCTGATTCTGGGTACAAAAGCTAGCCAAAGTGTATAGGTGTTTCTGTAAACTAATTGCATCACGTGCTAGTAATATGATATCATCTGCATACAAGAGAGCTTTGATAACAAAGTTTCCAAGCTTGACATCTTCACTATCACATGCCTCCAACCACTCTTCGATATCATCTATAAAAACTCCAAATAGAGTAGAAGAGAGAGTACAACCTTGAATCACTCCAATGGTACTCAAAACCTCTTCAGTTTGAGAAGTGTTGATCTTTGCTCGAACAGATTGGTAGAGCGTGGCCACAGCTGCTAGAAGATTTGATGGTACTCCAATGACTTGCAGCCTTTTCCATAATAGCTCACGAGGTATGGTGTCAAAAGCTTTCTTAAAATCAATGAAGGCGCAAAACAAAGCTTTACCGTTGCCCTTCGACTTTTTCCATAAAACACGCAAAGCCAAGATATGATCAATGGTGTTGTATGTGGAGCGAAAGCCTGCTTGAAACCGCGCTCTCTTTCGATGAGATTCAGTCCATGTGCTCAACTTTGACTCCACCAATTTGCTAAACAACTTGGCAAAAACACTACCCACCATGATAGTGCGATAGTTTGTCACCAAGTCCTCCCTGACTTGTGAATAGGCACAATCTTGCGTAAAGATCAAGTTGAAGGAAAACCATACATAGCAGCATTCTCTAACGCTTTGATGAGTATTGGTCCAATAATATCTCCTCCTCACTTCAAAAGTTCAATAGAAGATCATCCAAATCCTCCGATTTACCATTTGCTAATTTTTTGACTTGAGTCATCACCTCTAATTCAAAAAATAAGCCTGATGTTCTTTCACAACAAGGCATTGATACAACGTTGGGAAAGAAATAAAGCTTTTCAGCAAAGTCAATCAAACTCTTGGGATCAAGAGTAGGTTTCGAAGACCTTACAACTAATTGTCTCCAAAAGGATTTGGGATTCTCCATCAACTCCTTTGTCAAGAATTCCTGCTTCATCCTCAAAAAAGCTCATTTTTTGAGCTTCACCAAGTTTTTGTAAAGCCTTGTCAAGATAAGCCGACTTTGGAAATCCAAAGACTTGTCAACTGATCTCATCCTCGCTTGCTTACCATCCAAGTCAAACCATCCATTGCAAGGAAGCCCCCTAGCTCTTTAATCCTTGTGACGCAAAAAGAACTTGTGTCTTTGAGCAACTCTATTAGTTGCTCACTCGCTGTATGTGGATCAAGGCTCCATGAAGTGTGAGTCAAAAGGTTTTGAAAATGTAGCATGTACTGCTCTTTCTTACCATGATCTAAACAAAACTTGGGAGAAGCTAAAACAGAATGGCATGGAGAGAGAGGGATTGTTTTTTATAACAAGAGAGTAAATAAGAGAGGTGCATGATCTCACTTTGGCTGAGGTTCTAGAATATCAAATTTCAAAATAAGAGAGCTATGAGTGGCCGAGGATAGAAGATAATCAATGGTGCTAGAATCTATAGGAGAAAAACACGTATTGGAAAGTGAGTTGGGAAAGAGAGAGATATCGTTGAGAACTTTCAAATTACATGTGGCTCCAAAGGTTAGAAAGTGTTCAGTCAAAGGATTTGTACAAATATCAAAAGAGTTTCTACACCACATACTACCTTCAAGTTCTTCAAAGGAGGTAGAAGTCAAGAGATCACCAACTTGGGTAAATTGTGCACAATCTATTGAAATCTCCAACCAGAAAAAACTTCACCTTTGCTCTGATAATTGACAACATCTCCTATAAGTCGATGGAATGGTTGACTCCGATTGCAAGTGCGTGTGGAGTAGATAGGCATGGACAATGGTGCAAAGTAACAAACAGTCAAATAACTATAAGATCCTCCAACCAATCCAAGACGAAGCCAATGATATTGACATCCAATATCCTGACCTTCTAAATATACCAGAGGTAGAAATTGAGATATGATGAAAGTAGCAATACCGCCATAGCCTCTTCCAGCTCGTTAACTTCTCTGATTCCAAGTGGATCCCACCAAAGTAAACCTTGGTATCTCTCCAATAGTGTTGCTCTCATGTTTCCACGTTTCCACAATGTTGATGATGTCCGCCATCTTTCAAATTGAATTAGCACTCACATACTTCGTTGTAGAAAGAACTTTAATATTCCACATTAACACCCTCAAGCTCTTGGATTGCTATGTGGATGATTGTCTCTTCCGTTGAGTGACAATTGCTTGTCCATCACGGAGATAAACAAAAAATCTAGCATCTTGAGCTTCTTTGACTTTTGCAAGCTCCTTTCTCCTTGCCTATACTTGTAGAGGTGTGAGATCGGAATCTAACCAAATCCTACGTCCTTTGAGTACAGCTTTGCTGGCTAAAGCTGTATCACGTTGAGTTTGGTCATTAAATTTAACTATGATGGCTCGAGGTTGGGTTACTATGGTTCCAATGCGAAAAGCTTGAGCAACATCCGCATTAGGAACATCAAGTGTTTTAGCCAAAAACTTGACGACAACAATCTTCACCTCTTCCTTCTCAGATTCAGGTAGACCAGAAATTCTCACATTCTTTCTACAAGCAAATTGATTAGTCTTTTCAATCTTTTGCTCTTGACAGAAAGAGATATGAGCAGACTTGGTGGATTCTACATAAGATTTCATCTTCACCTCTAGACTTTCAACCACTTCATGCAATCTAGGAGTAGCAACAGTGGAAGCTTGAGAACCAACTTTCTTCTGAATATCTTCTACGTGTTCTGAAATATCAACCATAATCTTCTCAAAACTCTTATGAGAGAGCTTCAATTCTCTAATTCCATATTGAACTGCAATTAAAGTAGAACTCTATAGCTTGAATTGTTTCAAGCTATAGAGTTCTACAGTATCTCATCAAAAGTATCAGGAGTAGTACTTTCAACTCTTCCAAAACCGTTTGCACAAGATTGAGTATCAAATTGTCTTGAGACGCCATCATGTGAATGCCTCTCAAAAACTCGACACTGAAATATGTTTCACCTTCCACCTCCAAACTGCGTTCAGTCTCAAACTTTGCAAGCTTGCACTCCCTGCTCCAAGCTACCACAAAGTTTCAAGTCTAGAGCAAACTCCAGCCGGAAGTAACAGCCCCTCCAAGATTCGACTTTCCCTTCTTAAAAAGCTCAGACCTCCAAGATACGTCAACTTCTCGCTCCAAATTGCGTTTGGACTAAAATTTTGCAGGCTCGTGCGCCCTGTCCTACTCCAGCGTTTCACTAAATTTCAGCTCCAGATCACTTCCAACTTCAAAAATACAGCTCCCGTAAAATCCTCTTGCCCTCAAATCTTGAAACTCAAAGCTCAAAACTCAAAATTGGACGCACTCTGATTCTGAAACTCCGTTCAATCTGAAAATTAACAAGCTTGAGCGTTCTACCCAACGTCACAATGCCACGAAATTTCAGCCCCCGTTCACACTCGAGCCCTAAGTTACGGCCCCTGCAAGATTTGGCCCTCGCCTCTCAAAAAGCTCAGACCTCCAAGACACGTCAACTTCTTGATGCAAATAGCGTTCAGCCTGAGATTTTGCAGGCTTGTGCGCCCTGCCCTACTCCAACGTTCCACCAAATTTTAGTTCCAGATCACTTCCAACCTCGAAGATACAGCTAACGTAAAAATCTCTTGCCCTCAAATCTTGAAACTCAAAGCTAGAAATTGAACGCACTCTAACTCTGGAACTTAGTTCAATCTGAAAATTAATGGGCTTGAGAGCTTTATTCAATGTCACAATGCCACGAAATTTCAGCCCTCGTTCACACTCGAGTCCGAAGTTACAACCCCTGCAAGATTCGGCCCTCCCCTCTCAAAAAGCTCAAACCTCCAAGACACGTCAACTTCTTGCTCCGAATGGCGTTATGCTTGAGATTTTGCGCCCTGCCCTACTCCAGCATTCTACTAAATTTTAGCTCCAGATTACTTCCAACCTCGAACATACAGTTCTCATAAGAATCTCTTGTCGTCAAATCTTGAAACTCAAAACTCAAAACTAGACGCACTCTGACTCTGGAACTCCGTTTGATCTGAAAATTGATAAGCTTGAGCGCTCTATCCAACGTCACAATGCTACGAAATTTTAGCCCTCGTTCACACTCAAGCCTGAAGTTACGACCCCTGCAAGATTCGGCCCTCCCCTCCCAACAAGCTCAGACCTCCAAGACAAGTCAACTTCTTGCTCCAATTGGCGTTCGACCTGAGATTTTGCTCGCTTGTGCGCCCTGCCCTACTCCAGCGTTCCATCAAATTTCAGTTCCAGATCACTTCCAACCTCGAAGATACAGCTCACATAAGAATCTCTTGTCCTCAAATCTTGAAACTCAAAGCTCGAAATTCAAAATTGGACGCAGTCCAACTTTGGAACTCCGTTTGATCTGAAAATTAATTGTCTTGAGCGTTTAACCCAACGTCACAATGCTACGAAATTTCAGCACCCGTTCATACTCGAGCCCGAATTTACGGCCTCTGCAAGATTCAGCCCTCCCCTCTCAAAAAGCTCAAACCTCCAAGACACGTCAACTTCTTGCTCCGAATGGCGTTAGGCCTGAGATTCTGCAGGCTCGTGCGCCCTGCTCTACTCCAGCATTCCACAAAATTTCAGCTCCAGATAACTTCCAACCTCGAAGATACAGCTCCCGTAAAAATCTCTTGCCCTCAAATCTTGAAACTCAAAGCTCGAAACTCAAAATTGGACGCGCTCTGACTTTGGAACTCAATTTGATCTTAAAATTAATGGGCTTGAGCGCTCTACCAAACGTCACAATGCCACAAAATTTCAGCCCCCGTTCACACTAGAGCTCGAAGTTACGGCCCCTGCAAGATTCGGCCTTCCCCTTTCAAAAGGCTAAGACCTCCAAGACACGTCAACTTTTTGCTCCGAATGGCGTTTGAACTGAGATTTTGCAAGCTCATGCGCCCTGCCCTACTCCAGCGTTCCATCAAATTTCAGCTCCAAATCACTTCCAACCTCGAAGCTACAGTTCATGTAAAAATATCTTGCCCTTAAATCTTGAAACTCAAAGCTCAAAACTCAAAATTGGACTCACTCTATCGTCATATCGTGAACTTGACGCTCGAGATCTTTAGATCCTGAGAAGCCGACTCCAAGCCAATGCCACAGACAATAGCTTTGGATCAAGCCCACTCATTAGATAACATTCTTACTAACTAACCGAGTGTCTATCCGGTATATCATTCTGGAATATTATCTTCTTGACATCATATGAGGAGGTGCTGCGTCTTGCACAAAAATAAATTTGGATATATGGATCCAATGTCATGGTATTCAACTCGGGTTTATTCGTAATACAATTCGTTTCAAGCTGAAGACCAGAAAGCAAAGCATTCCAGCATTTGGTAGGTGAATCTACTTTCCATCTTGACATCAGATCATTGGTTATTCCCTTGTCCGAAACCGGGAAGAATGTTTTCAGATTTTTCACTCATGTTAAACTCAAAGTAGGAGTAAGCTCGGGAAAAGGTCTAAAGTTCATGGCAAACACACTTCTGGTACCAATTAGCCAAGCAGTTGTTTCTGGCCATTTAATGTGCTTTTCTGAACTCCATGACTAGTATGGCCATAACTTCAGGAGCGATGCTTCTGCGTGTGGGAAATCAGCTTTCGACTCTTTACCTTGGTGATTCACGTCGGCCCACGAGCCACTCGAAGATGGTGGTTTAGTCCACTAATCCTTTGTAGTTGATCATAATTAGTGTGGTCCGATAAGGTACAATAAAATACGATTACAAAGTTTATGAGTTACCTAAATTTTAGAATTAGGTGGTCATCGTGTCAAATAACTAAGCAAGAGACATAGAGTATCATCGCACATAAGTCAACGCTTTGCTCCAACTTCCCTTCGGTCCTCTTTCATTTTTAGAAAAAATATTATGGACTTCCTGGGCTCCAAGTCTCTTTTTTTCCTCGATGAGGTGTGACAGCCCCGCCCTCCCACCAAATTATAGGTATACAAGGTTGAAGGTAGTTGAAACTAACTTCGATTATATTTCAGAACTCCACCACCGTGTATCCACAGAGCCAATTTTACTACACACATCGTTGTGTGATTGCAACCTTTATTTACTCACATCTGGGTTTGGTTCGGCGTAAGGCTTTGACGGAACTTTTCGATACTCCAATCTAACCACGTCCCCGAACTGGAAGGTACGACTAGGAATGTAAGACAGGATTTATCGGATGAAGTTCTCCACTCTCAATTGCCTTGACATACTGTTAACATGCATGTCGAGCTTTTTTTGGTAACGGGCAACTAGGCGTCAATCGTCTGATGCTCACATGAGCAAAGTCAAGTGTCAAAGGGAATCATACTTATCGATGCACATCATAACCTTGCACTATATTACCGACAACATACAAAATTTGGTGCAAATAGGACTAATCCGCCTAATGAATGTCTGGGCACACAGAATGGGCCTGCCCGGTTTCCTGAGATTTTTTTGAGGATACTTCAGTGGATTGGTAATAAAAAGGGCAACGTGTAAATACAAGTCCTAAAATTTGCCCGCTTTCGAAAGTCGCTGGATCTCCTCCTTGACAAGCCCTAGGGCAACCTTGACCACTTTACTAGCAAATACATGTACAAAATTGACCTTAACGTCACAATCTACATTTGGCACTTTCGTGGCCAAGACTGGTCCAGATTTAAGTAGCAACAGGTGGTAGATAAGAGAAAGATGTACTCACCTAGACATTCTTCTTGACAAACCTTTGCCCGTCATGAAAGGTTGTGCAAACAATATACAATGAATTAGCTCTACAGGACGAGGAGAGATCACTCAAATGCTCCTCAACAAAACTCCAAACCACAAATGAGCGATGCAAATTCAGGACCCAATTGATGGAGCTAATACGAAGACACTCAAGATGGGCCGCACAGCAAAGTAAATCTACTCCTCTGCAATACCATTAGCATCAACCTCAGAGTCAAGAACTAAACGAGCCTGATGGTCCACCCTCGTAGTGCAGTAGAGAATATTTAACACGTATAGAGATTTTTCCCGTCTCCACATCCAGCTTTGCACCGGTCACGAGCCAATGTCCTGGCATATCCTGGGCCCCTTTTGTCATCTCTGTCATGTCGACGTACTTCAACAGCTTAGGATTTGGAGCAGGTCTCTTTGGAGCGCCTGGAAAGATTGCCGAGTTTTGGTTGATAGGTACATGTTTGGTTCCCGGCGGTCCAGTCGGAGGAAACGGACCGCTCAGCCCAAATGTTCTAAGTAAACCAGATTTCGCCACTGCAGCTGGTGTGTGATCCCACAAGGACCTCCTTATAGAGCACCCGGGAACTTTCGAATACAAGAGTCTCAGAAACAGCACGTTCTTCATTCCGAAGTTCCAAACTTGCAATTGGGCCCCGGTAACGACGAAGGTACCACTCGCTTCACCAACCCATGAGTCACTATTTTCCACAGGAGCAGTACTGACATGTGAGAAGTTCTTCCACTGGACGGGTTCAAACCACCGGCTATCCTGCTCTTCAGGCTCTTTCCAAACAGGTGCCCCAATGGAAACATGAGTATCCCAGTACGGCTGTAGTATTTTGGGAAGACTTGACAGATGCTGGAGGTGAATAGCAAGTCTATTGCACTTCTTCCCCTCGAGAAACAAGCGCAGACCTGTCACTGGCCGTCTCCCGACAGACACCTGGTGTTCACCCACATTCGACCACACAAGTAGCTTCAGACAAAAAAAACGACGTGCCGTACAAGTTATCGAGGCCTCGCAAAAGAAAGTACTGACCAGAAGGAGAGCCACTTACTTGACTTGTGCTAACATACAGTTTTGGACCCATCAAACTGAATTGCAATGAAGGGCATACAGGTTCCTTCCGTGGAGGACCGAGAGGTAGGTCAAAAACAGGCGACCACTGCTTTGGGATTTGATACTCCAAAAAATACTGGAGCTCCTCTATCGGAGGCTTATCTGCGGTAACATTTTCGAAAACCATGATGTGATCAGTTCATCGGACAAAGACCAGAGTTAATGCGAAACAACATATACTGACAATGCTTACCATCTACATACAAGCAAAAAAACTAAACCTTTCTCTACACCAGATATACAACAAGCATTTGCATCAAGATTGAAAAAAAATTTCCTCAGAACAGGAAACATACATCGCAGATAGAGGTTGACAGCATGACTCAAGAATCCACTTCCAGCTACACCATTTAGAAGAGCATTGATTGGAACAAAAGTCATGGCTATGATGTCAGGGGAATCCGGAACTGTTGCCACCCAGTCATGGTGATTCTCCACCATGTCATTTCCTCCCCTTCGTCTGCAGATAATTTCTACGTCCTGCAGCATCATGAGGAGGTATCTTCAATCACCAGGCGAGTTAAAAGCAAGGCAAACAAATAAAGAAATAGGACTTGTGCGTCAATTGTGCACATCCAAAATCTGACTATTAAGCTGCTTAACGCAAACGTCCCTTCCGATATCTGCAAGCTTCGAAAACCAGAAAGCGACATCGTAGCCCATGAACCTACTTCTTTGGACTTCACCCTCGTAGTAGTATAGGTTGGCTCCAGTGGTGACCGTCGTGTAACGCTGGTAGCTGAATATGAATCCGATACCTGCAAATCCAACACCCAAACATACTGATTTGATCATTCAATACTATTTTGGTGTAAATTAAAGACATTCACAGCTGATCAGAGGAACGGTATATTCTACGTATGATGACATAAAAATTAAGAAACAAGTAGTAAAAAATGCACAAGTATAAATATGAACATAAAAATTCTTGTGAACCCCTTTTTTTGAAATATTTCCCAACCCCAGAGTTGTTGCAACTTTCAACCATTTCATCCACCAAAACTTATTCCTGTCAGAGAAATGTGGATCTTCCACAAGACATTTACCTTCTCTTTGCCCGCTCTTTCTCTCGTCTCAAAGCTGGTTGTTCCATTTGAAACGCTCTGGAAACGCTGATCGGCAAACTTCTGCATTAATTTCGCAACCTCTGGAGGTTGTAAAGGTGAAGTCTGATGTTGTCGTACATAAATAACATCTTTGCCTCCAACTTTTACACTAACGACAATATGTGTTCCATACTTTTCGATAAAACTGGAAGATAATATCAAGCCCGAGTTGTTGATAGTCAGTAACACAGGCCATTAATGCCTCAAATCATAGGGAAACTTTCGCCTTCCTCGTAACATTCAGAGCATGCATCCAAAGAGGGAACATATTCCATGTAACTGATAGCCAGTGGGTACTGCACCACAATGACTGGAATATCTGAAAATACAAATCTATCTCCAAGAAACTCTTCTTCAATCATTCCAGCTTCAATCCTCTTGAAGTTCTCAAACTATGAAATTTTGACATTCTAAAAGCCACACGCCTGTGTACCTGGCCAAGGCCTTCGGATCCCAAATAGTAGGGACTGCCTTCTTCACATCCTCAATTAGCACAGGAGAGGACCTTGTAATCTGCAAACTGTAAAGAGTGATGAACCACCCATCCAGCGCTAAGCCCTTCGTTGCATTGGCATCAGCTTGCCAAGGTCCACTGAAGCTGTACATATTATTGAAAAGACCGAGCGGCATTTTCCCCGTAATCGAGGCACCTTGATTAAATCGTTCTGACATCTGGAAACAAATGCTACCTTTAATCAGAACCAGGCTAACAAGCACTCGATCAAAATGCAATGAAACATGATGAAGGCCCGTGATCGATCGATATGTTTTAAAGTTGTAGTGGCAATATCTGGCCTGAAGGGACTGCTCTGAATTTCACCAGAGACGACAAATAGAAGTTACAAAACATCTATGCAAACAACATATTCCGACGAAATGTCATCTACAAACGAAGATGAAGCAAGTTATTATCATCAGAGTCCAAAACAATGTCACTACAAAACCATAACTAAAAACTTTGTTGAGAAACCTAGCAAAACAAAATATCAACTTTTACGTCGTAAGTGAGAAGTGATAATTCTTATGATGCTGAACGTAAGAACTAACATGAAAATTGGATAAAATCGAAAAAAGAGAAATTGATTAAACCCCCCAAAAAAAACAAAAAACAGATAATTAATCTGATTATTCCAGACATCAGGTATCTTGGACACTAGCGGTATCTATTCACAGTGAGGTTGTAGACTGGGTGCATCGTTTGCATTATTTCCACATTTCCAAATTCATCAGGATGCGAATGGCTCGCGCCGTAACGAAACCGGCAAGACTTTCTCGGTTTTGCAGGAACAGGCAAGAGAAATCTCAGTGAGAGGAACAACACAATGCTGTATCACATCTACCGTATCCGCAATAAACAGCAAACCTTGCAAGAATGGTACAATCTAATACGAGTGAGATTTCTCTAACCAAGGGATAACCAACGGTAGTACGTAGAGCAAAAGCTCGAACATATGGAATGTGTAAGATACAACCAGGCAATGGCCGTACTCGCTTGCGAGGGTCACATTGACGACGCTTGGGAAGATCTCTGAGAAAAGTATTGCTTAGGAAGATCGCTATGGAAGACTCACGATCGTTCAAACTGAACATATATTATGACGTAACAGGTTTGAAGGTAGAGATGCATCTCTCAATGAGAACAGTGACTATTGTTGAAAAACTACTTATTAACTGGAATTTCTTGAAAGGGGGATAATAGCAATTCATCTAATTTACTGCGCACGAGAACACAGTGGAACATTCTACAACTTCGTGCTCCTTACACAATCATAAGCATTAGATATTTTATTATTTGATAACCTTCTGAACCAGCAGATTGTATTCTGTTCAAGGATTTGAAAACACGATAAAGGCATGCTTCTCATGGTTGGCGAGACCTTACTGATCACGTGGCACTGGTTTTGCTCGAAAGCAAATACAAAACCTGTGCCTGTAAACACGATACATGCGGTACCTCGCAGTACCTGTACTTGAAAACTTGATCGAAAGAAAGCCCAGCATTAACACTAGAAAAAATTTCAGTGGAGTCCAGTTGCGAGCAATACGCATACTGTCACGAGCAATACGGATACTTCTAGGGCAAGACTGCACGACGCCTTCCACTTCACAATCGTAGTCATACTTTGGAAGAAAATTATGCTAGACAGCTACATAGATCCCATTGAGGAATAAGAATGGCCGGACGTGGATGTCCTGCTCAATATCAGGCTCTAAAACTGGTTATATCAAGGTGTAAGTGCCTACAGGTTATCAAGGCACTGAATCGAGGAAAGTGAGACTATGACCGGAGAAAGAAGTGAACGGTTCCCATATTAGCAGTAGCCCAGTGCGGGAGCTAAACAGATTATGAAGGTTTCATGGGTTGTGTTTAGAGTAGATAAAAGCCCAATTGCACAAGGCTGAACTAGTGATGTGATGCTGAAGCCAAGTTCACGGCAGTGTTATAGCAGTCTCAAAACGTATGTCTTATTTATAGATTACATATATCCTGCCAGACCCTGCTGACGGTACTTCTCAGGCGCTCAGATTGCCCAGGACAACATGTCCTTCATATGGGGCAACTCCTTGACCATTCCTCCTCCCGACTGAAACAACATCGTAGAGGGACTGGCTGCCCGAGTCAACATTTGACGAACGCGAAGAAAGATGAGGTAGCGTGAGCAACTAGATTGAAGGACAAGCATAAGCAAGAAGCTGAAAAATTACTTGTTGAAATGAGACGACGTCCGATTTGTATCGAGTCCGCTCTCCTTTGTCCAACTTGATCTCCCTTGATACATTTTGGATCACCACACCTGTCGGAGTAATCAAATCCTGAAGGTTTTCTTCGTCTAGTTCCACAAGACATGATCCTTTACATGAACCGACCCGAAAATCTGTCGTCACATCAAAACCACGCCCGAGAGCCTGCGTTGCTTCGTATGCTATCTTTTCAGCCGGAGTGGCGATCTTAGATTGACCAGAATTCCTGGTTTGCGGGCGCATTGCGTACGCTTTGTCGGCCATTCCAAAACCATCAGGCTGCACCTGGACTACCACTGAGTTCGACGCCCCGATGAAGAGTTCCCCGAACTTCAGTTTCCATTTACATCCTACTTCATGTATCGCGGCTGGAATTTTCCGACTCTCAGGACCTTGGTGAACTTCTCATGCCTTCGTATCTAGTCTTCGCAGCTCGTCGTAGAATATCCTCCAGCGCAGTATTTCGTCGAGGTTCGACTCTGAAGGTTTTGCGTCCTTATGTCAAGCAGGTCCATACCAACCAAAGGCCTCATGTGAAAGCGAAAGCTCCCGGTAAAGAATCAGCAACATGATCCAGCTTCGCCTCCGACACTTCCTTCCAAGTAAAACCCACACTGCGTGGTTTTGAACCGTGCTCCGATACTCACCTGAAGAGGATTCTCATAGTGCACGGCTTTCCGAATTGTTCTGCGCGGGCACCGAGTGCTGCTGCAGCTCCGACCTTCAGTTCAGCAAACCTAGGTTAGTATGTGATAAGAGGTGATGTTTTAGGCGCAAGCAAACTGCTCGATAGTCAAAATGAAAAGAAAAGGCGAGCCTCTGAAAGACCATCACTGAATCTCAGCGTTTAACATCACACAACTTTGGCAGAGTCCTTCACTTTTAGCTCGGGCGATGGTTCAACTTATCCGAAGGGCTTAACTCTGTTAAAAGGCAAAAGAAAGGTGCGAGCCGAACATATTCGCGTCAACCTGCCAGCTAGGTCTAGTCTACGATGGCGTGATGGGCTTGTTAGGTCTTAACCAACTAGGCCTGCATGCTGTGTATGTTCTACGGATCACAAGAACAAAAGAATGCATCGACGGGTTAATTGTGGCTACCCCGGCAGCACGCGAAGGACAATTCACGAATTCGGAATCGAACAAGTGCAAAAACCTCAGCAGCTGATCACCCAGCCCAGGCAAAAATCGGCTCTCGGACATCCAGAACTCGGCCCAGTTACCTGGTCCATGAAAGTCCAGTCGAATCCAGTTCTAGGTTCGGTCCTCGGAACCTTTCTATCGAAGACCTCCGCAACGTCAGATAAAACGAGCTCAAGTGTTGCGGAGCGCGACTAATAGCTCGGCATCTTGAGGAGCTGGTATTGATTTGAACCTGTCCTCGAAGAGAAACAAACGAGAATTCAACCGATCTACAGGAAACAAAAGTCTTGCAAAGTCGTCCGGCCTCAAGAGCCAATCGACTGCCACCAGGTAAAGTCGTCAGACACACCAACGCAGCGCAAACGCAATTGGCCCACCAAATCGGAGGCTCGCTCCCGGCTCAGGCTTTGGCCAGGGGCTCCATCTCCTCCGACAGCAGCACGGGCATCACCCGACGCTTGTTTCCGACTGCTAGTTTGCCATCCCCTTCCCTCGGCCTAGAACCCTCCTAGTATTGGTCCGTGGGCCCCGGATGAGCGCAGAAATGTGCTAATTTAGCCAAATAAGTCTATCTGCAGCCGAGAATCGGGAGCGGAAGGGCGGGATGCCTGCGCTGCATCATGGAACGCACCTCAGAATCTTTGTGCTTCTGAGCCCGCACACAACCGGACCAGCACCGAAAGCCTCCGAGGAAAAAGCATGCGGCAGTAAATCCCAGACCAGCGCCCCACTCCCATTCCCCCTCCCCTGCCCTGTCGTCGCCCCGGGCTCCACTTTTCCTCTCGCGCAAAGGTCCCGCAATTCCCGTCCACTCTGCGCCAGGAACGGGAAACTCGCGCCTCACTCCAAAACTCCTGCACAAACTACACTGGCAGATTTAGACCCCCCTCCTCCGTCCCCACTCCCCCCTTCTCGCGCCTCACTCCAAAACTCCTGCACAAACTACACTGGCAGATTTAGGACCCCCCTCCTCCCTCCCCACTCCCCGCTTCGTACAACGAATCGCCCTCCCCTCGCTTCGCTTCGCTGTCCTCGACCCAAATCCGCTCTCGCTACCCCTCGCCTATCTGCTGCACGGGGCCGGTCGCCTTGCTCTGCTCCCTCTTGCCCTTCTTCCCCGCCCCTCTGGCCCTCGGCATTTACCGTGTCGTAAGTCGGTCGTCCCCTGCTCCGGCTCCTGCTCCTTCTCCTTCTTACGCAGGGACGAGTCCGCGAGTTCCTCGGTGGGACCCACCCGAGGACAGGCCCATGGCGAGGGTCGCTCTTGTCTGCACTCGGGCACAATCACTGCGTCGTCGGCTTTGTCGTAGTCGCCAGGGCGACCAGCGGACCGCCACAAACGGCACCGGGTCTTGACCGATGAATCCTCGTCCAACCTCGGTTGGACACCTCACCGCGTACGCCTATCCGACCAGTACGTTTGAAATACAGTGCGATGCGGGAACCTGGCTGTGAGCCCTCCGATTGACAACCACGTAACTGGTTCCAGTGGGCAGCTATGTACATACCGAACTGTACGTGACCTGCAGTACCCGCCATGTAAGTCACCTGACCGATCCGATGTCCAGTGCCGGACCTCTACAGCTCTCGCTCACCACAACTGTAACCAGGCCATCACGTGGTAAGAGTCCTCTACGCTGTGGGATCGAGTTCTCTCGACTGCGGGAGTCATAGCCTGATACTCGTCTATTCACCTCATCCGTCACCTCCCTCATGTTTGGCCGATTTTCACTCAGGGCTTTCTTCGCTCGAATGATTTTCCATCGGGATTTCCATCTCTGCGACATGAAGTTCCAAAGTTGCTCTCAGGCATTCGCAAGACATCGGAAGTGCGAGGATGGCTCCGTACGTTCATTCAGTGCAGAGCGGCACCGAAGCCCCAGAGCAGAAAAAACAATAAACCAGGACAGCGGATCGAACACACCAAAGCCCACGCCAGTTTGTGATGAGTATTTGTTAATTACAGAACTTTGATCCGGCTTAATAATGGGAAGAAAGTATTGCAACATCTCCGAAGGCCCCAGGAGGAGCTGCGCCGGGATAGAACCTAGAGCTGAATATTACGAGACCGCCGAATGGATGTCAGAGATCCGCTCAGGCTCTTCCGTAGGAGTCTGCAGTACTTTCTTAATCTCCATTTCTTCTGCTTATTATAGAGGATTGCGAGTACAGATGAGGACTGTACTGTACTCGATCGATCCCGCCTGCGTCTCTCTCTCTACATCACCTGACTGCCGTTCATTGACCGGGAAGGTTAACGTGGGAGAGGAGCGGCATGGAGGTCATCGTTTCGCAATCCGTCAATGCACGCCGCCAATCAGGCACACTCGCCAGTATGTACATTGTACGTACGAAGGTACACAGCGCCTGACTGGCGACATCAACGTAGTATCTCGGACGAACACTTGCTGCTGTCGACTGACACGAAGAGAGAGAAAGAGAGCGACAGGACACTCGGTCCTACTACTACTGCCCACGGGACGTGATGCCCCTGCTTATGTGGACCTTCCACCTGGTCTCTCCTCGCACCCTTTCGACCACAGGCAATTAACGCCCGCGACTACTTTATTTTCTCCCCAGCCCAAACAGTCAACAGTAACACCCCGTCCTCCACGGGCGTACTCATTCCATCCCTTTGACCTTGACGTTGAACTATTTGCCCGAGTTTACTCTGATGTTCGGGTGGCTCATCCGGTTCGGTCATCGAGAAAAATGTGAATGCACTCCGGGAAGGAGATGAGACCAGTTTCTAGAAATTTCCCCAATTACAGAAAGAAATCGAACTTCGAGAAAAAAATACATAGTTAAAGAATAGATAAAATTCAATCGAGTCATTCCTCTCCGAAACTCGATTTCGAGTTCAAACTCCTCTGCTATGTGTGGAAGGTATATTTTGTTGGATGAACTACAAGCTACCTGGGCATTCCATGACACCTCCGGAGTAGATAGCAGTCATAATAGCTTACCACTGAGTGTACACATAGCGGCCTGTGTCACTACAATTAGTAAATAATGAAACATTATAACACAAGATAAGATGGGTAGAAAAAAGAGAGGAATGAGTAACAAATCATACAAATGTTTTTGTATGACATGTATGTGACGATTAGACAATTAACATGGCATAAAATATGATATGTATATATATATTTATTTGTAAATTATTTACTGTAGTGATACTATTGGACCTAGTCTCATGGTTTCTAACGCGGCCTCGGATATTCTTGCTATACAATTTGAGCCATTGGCATCCCCGTCGGACTTATTGGACTTCCATTGTATTTGCTATACAATTTGTGCCATGAGCACTGGTCTAGTGGTGAACAGCACTTTTCTTTTCAAGGAACCGGCCAATCTCTTGCAGGAAAGGAGGGCTGGCGAGCAGACAAAAAGTCCACGCAGCCAGAGGATCGAGACAAACAGACAAACAGAGGGGGACGGAGATGGGCCCGACGGCACCCATACTAAACCTCGTGTATACCAAATACCGTGGTATTGACTTGGCCAAACCAGACGAGAATAGACGGCGCGAAAGATTTAGCAAATATGGAAACCGGTGATCCATTAAATGTGAATCTGCCCATCTGTATGGCAGAGCTTGACTCAACATCGTGTACTCCGTTCATGGAGATATCACGTAGAACTCCACAGTTGTCTGATTGACACAACCCGTGAGTTAGCCATCAGTTCCTCTTTTTTGTGAGCTTTCTAGTACTCTTGTAGTTTCAGATTTGTGCATTCGTGCTTGTTGATAGTTCTACTCAACCTCAAGACCCGAAGTGGGAAAGAGATTGCAATAATTGTAGAATTTATCAACATTTGTTTATGATTATCCTTCTTCTTTTTTTCATTCGGTGCAACTCTAAGAATACATTTTGGAAAAAAAAGCAGGACAGAGAAGAATACAGCAGGTTTCTCCCGTGTATCTTGGCCGGCGACACCGAGGAGTGAGGCATCTCTATAAAACTATCTATTGATCTCGAACTCGCATTCTCTCAAAACAAGATTGAGTCTTCTTGTTTTTATGAAGGAATGTGTGAAGCACCTCATTAAACCTAGCCTGCATATCTGACACTTGAGAGTATATGCCGTACTCAAAGATTGATTATGTCGATATAGCGATATCTAGAAGACATTTTGAACATTTAATAGCTTATAGCATTATATGTACCAAAATGTTACTAGTATTATATCAATCATGAATACATTCCATAGAATTAAATTGCCTTCTTACATTAAAACTTCAGAATGTTGAACCTTTTTGTAAATATCTTATCTCGTTGACTTGCTTACTCACTAAAAAAGGTCCAAGATCACCATAGTCAGGTTTGTCTCTCTGTTGGCATCTCTTCAAATTGCGATGCAAAAGCTAAACTTTACCCCCAACTCAGATATTTGGATTTTGCTTTTGAGATTTTTTTGCAATTTTTTTTCTCCTGCTCTTGAGCTTCTAACTTGTCTTCATGTATTTTTGAATCTCCAAAAGTTATGGGGACCAAATCTTGCGTAGCTGGATTTTTTGTCAAAATCAAGTTCAAAGATTCAAATTGTGTATGATATTCATAGTTTGCAAAAAACATAGTTTGGTATCTTAAAATGATATCTTAAAATATATTGCTACATGCGTTGTTGAACTCTCCAAGTGAAAATGTATCCGCCTAATTGTCTTTGATGGTAGTTGATGAGTCACCTTAAATATTGCTCCAATATTTGATTCACTTTTTTTGTTTGTAAGTCAATAATAGATTGATCATCATTTATAAGATTTTGAACAAGGATTGTCAAAACTTTGACATGAACTGCGTATCACGATTAAAGATATTTTCATAAAAAATCCATGATATTTAAACATATTTTTCAAGAAAAGTTATGTCATTTCTTTACATATAATAGTCTTATTGCAAGGCACAAAGTGTTTCATCTTTGTCAAACTTTCCACCACAACAAAATTTGAATCAAAAGATTTGGACTTTAGAAGATCCACAAAGAAGTACATGAATATGGATGTTAATGGAATTTCAAGAATCTATATTTTTTGAAGTAATTCGTATGGCCGATGATGAGGTATCTTGGATCTAAAACATGTGTTACATGTAATGACATAGTTTTTCACATTTAGAGCCATCAAAAGTTCCTAAATATTGTAGCCAAAGTGTTCCGCCAATGAAAAGTCATGTTGAGATTAGAACACTTGGAATTGGCATTGACTCAGAGACATAAAGTAATTTCTTGTAATATAACAGTACATCTTGGAAGTGGAATCTTGAATTAACATCATGCAATCTAAAAATTTGTGAAATAGAGATATGTTGATTCAACCATTCCAAAACTTTAAGTTATGAAACCGAAGTTTGAATTCTTCTAGGAATAAAAATGCCAACATTATTCTTCAATTTCAAGGTCAAAAATTGAATTTTAAACTTACTTGATTATCTTGGAAAAAAATTGCATCTACCAAATTTTTGATGTGCACTATCTTCAGTTACAATTGCTCAAGCTTGATAAAGGTAATTTTATTTTATCATAAGATGTATATACTTCCCTAGATGCAAGATACGCTCGGGAAGAAAGAGAGTTGTATCAAATTTGCTTGAAATAGGACGATGTGATCACAAAATTGATATGCAAAAGCAATTTACTCCAACAAGCTTGTTGTTGATTCAATTTCTTAGCATATATGAATATCTTAAGATTTTTGTGATCAATGAAAACTGTGATCGAATGTTGAACACCTTTAAAAAAATGATGTCATTACTAAATAAGTGGTCACTAGCTGATAACTTATTGTTGTAGAGAGTAATCAATTATTTAAATATTGACTTCCCATAAAATACTGGGTTATGGCAACTTTAACAATAAAATGAGACTTGTATTGTTCCAAGAGAGATCACATGAAAAAGGTTTAAAACTCCGCGCTGTATGCTAAAGTTGAGCACAATCGTTATTGGAGTGTTTGAAGCTTCATTGTTGCTATAAAGGTTTGATATCTTTCTCCAAACATTTTGCTTAATTTTGTAAAAAATTGATAAAATTTCGTCTAATGTGTAGATACTTACTCCAATAATAACTGAACCAAGATAACACAATTGCGTTGAGCATTGTTCTAATGAGTCTAACTTGTGATTATTTTGTTGTGTATATGCTAAATTATAAACAA